AGCAGCTCCAAGGTCTGTGAAGAGTCTGATTTGTGGAGATAACAGCTGCTGAGATAAAGGAAGGAAATAGTTGGATTTTGACTCTAACAACTTCTTGGTACTCTGGGAGAGTAACTATGGTATACCTTTCTCAGGGTACTCCTGTCCTGACATTTCTTGCTTATTTCTATCTTACAGTTTCTGGATCTCACCCAGTAGCCTCTGTGGAACTCTGAGGGGTACAGCCAACTCCTGGAATGTCATATTTATCAATATATGAGGTAAATTAAAAAAAAGCAAAGGAAATTGACTTACAAAACTTTAAGCACATATTAGAACGTGCTCCCAAAATCATGAAGTATATTCTACACAAAGGTTTAAAGATCATTTGAGCTTGGGATTACTGGGTTTTAGGACTCTGTCCATCGTCTAGTGTTCTAAAGAACACAATGTTTGTTCAGTGATTGAGGTTAGTGCTTTCTAACAGACCCAACAAGGCATGTGTCTCCCACCCCATCACCTCAGGACAGAAACAGATCCCATTTCCCAAACGTTATGTTCTTTAGAATACTGGACAATGGACAAAGTCCAAAAACCCAGAAATCCTGAGTGTTATACACAATCATCAGAGCTGTTTAGAATCCACATGACTTAAGTGTCAGGACACACTTAGTATGTGAACCACAGGCATGCATAAACATGATGATTCTGCCTATGGACTGCACCATTGACATGCAATGTGCTATGATCGGATTTTTGGCAAAAATGGCCAGAAAACATAAATTTGAACTTTCTGTTTGTTCGCTGCATAGCTTGGACCTAGCCCCATGTGACTATCACATTCTTTTGGAGTGCCAAAAAGCATTATGTGGTTGCTGATGTTCAAAATGTGTAAGAGGTGATGTGTATTTGGCTTCAAAAGCAACTGAAAATGTTCTCAGACAGCATCGAGAAGCTGGTGGACTAAAGTAACAAATGTTTGCAGAAGTAATGGTGTTGTTTGTCTTTTGTAGATTTAATGAAAGTGTGGGAACATCACACATACTTACACACTGTTTCGCCGGTCCAACAGACAACACTCACTCCTCAGTCAATATCACATAGCTGCATATTGCTGTTGATGCTCATATTTATTCAGCACTCCATATCCAACACACCTGTAAAACATCACGTGCGCTAACCAATCACACTGCTTCCAATGCTTGCAATTATACAACCAAATCCCTGTCCACCCTGAAGACATACAGAAGACCACCATCACCACTCCATTCGGCCTCTTCGAATGTCATGTCCTTCAGCCTGCAGAATGCCACCCAGACCTTCCAGCGCTTCATGGACGACATTCTACGGGGACTCGACTTCTGCTTTGCATACTTAGATGACATCCTTGTCTTCTCCCGGTCACTCGAAGAGCATGAACAACACCTACGTGCTCTCTTCAACCAACTCCAGAGGTACAGGATCATTATCAAACCATCAAAGTGTGTCTTCAGAGCACACGAGATCACCTTTCTCAGCTACAAGGTATCCGCCGAGGGTTCCGAACCTCTGGAAGACCGAGTGGCCCATCTCCAGGACTGGCCCCTTCCGAAGACCGCCAGTGAGCTCCGACGATTCCTAGGCATGCTGAACTTCTACAGGCGATTTCTGCCCCATGCAGTGACCACACAGGCACCACTGCATGACGTCCTCTCCAGACCCAAAGTCAAGGGCTTCCACCCCATCACTTGGACACCGGAGCTCCACAAGGTATTTGAAGAGTGCAAGGCGAGTTTGTTACGCACCACTCTACTGGCCCACTTGGATCCATCCGCGCCGCTTGACTCGTCACTCGTCACAGATGCCTCCACGTCCGCCATGGGTGCCGTGCTACAACAATGTGTAAGGTACACCTGGCAGCCCCTCACCTTCTTCTCAAAGAAGCTCAACCCGACCCAACAGAAGTACAGCACCTACGACCATGAGCTACTGGCTATCTACGAGGCAGTAAGGCATTTCCGCCATATGCCGGGAGTGCGTCACTTCACCATCTTCACCGACCACAAGCCAATGACCTACGCCTTCTAGCAGAAGCGGGTTAAATGCTCATCCTGGCAGTGCAACCATCTAGACTTCGTCTCCAAGTTCACAACCGACATTTGACACATCTCTGGACAGGACAACGTTGTCGCCGACGCCCTCTCTCGTGTTGAGTCCATCACTGCGCCACCACCTTACGACGTAATCACCGCATCACAGGACAGCGACGACAAACTACGAGCACTCCTGGGGTCAACCACTGCCCTGCGGCTCGAGAAACTTCCAGTCCCTGGTACCGCAGTCTCCATCTACTGTGACATGTCTACCGGGAGATCTCGGCCGTATGTTCCAGTGCCTCTGCGACTCCAAGTGTTCCAGTCCAATCATGATCTGTCACACCCAGGCACCAGAGCAACAGCAAAGCTGGTCGCAGAGTGATTCATGTGGCCAGGCGTGCAGAAGGATTACCACACTTGGGCATGTGCTTGCCAGTCCTGCCACCACTCCAAAGTCTCCCGCCACACAATCACTCTACTGGGCGACTTTACACCGCCAGCAGCCCGTTTTCTGCACGTCCATATTGACCTTGTTGGATCCCTTCTGACGTCAGTGGGCTACACCTACTGCCTCACTGCAATCGACCATTTCACCCGCTGGCCAGAAGTCGTCCCCATTCCGGATATCGCAGCTGACACAGTGGCACGTGCTCTACTGACCGGCTGGATATCACGCTTCGGTTGCCCGCAGACCGTCACCACCGAAAAGGGACGCCAGTTCGAATCCCAACTCTTCCAATCCCTGGCCAGGCTGTGTGGCATCCAGCTCTCACGTACAACCGCCCACCACCCAGCAGCCAACGGACACATGGAACGCTTCCACCAGACACTGAAGGCAGCCATCATGTGCCACGTGGACCGACACTGGACTGAGGCGCTTCCCCTGGTTCTCCTCGGAATCTGCACTGCATTCAAGGAGGACCTGCAAGCATCAGTAGCTGAGCTCGTGTATGGCGAGCCCTTAAGAATTCCCGGGGAGCTACTAACTCCAGCTACCGACCCTGCGGATCCATCACACATCATCACAGAGCTCCGCTAACACATGGCCCACCTCTGACCAGTCCCAGCATCATGCCACGCCTCTCCAGCTACTTTCGTGCACAGTGACCTTAAGAAATGCACCCACGTCTTCCTTCGGCAGGATTCAACACGCCGGTCACTGGAGCCCTCCTACACTGGCCCCTACCAGATCCTGTCATGGAGAGAGAAGACGCTACAACTCCTTGTGCGCGGAAGGCACGTCACTGTATCAGCCAACATGGTCAAGCCGGCCTACTGCAAGAGACCGACTGCGGGAACAGCATCAACCAACCAGCTGCAGCCACCCCGACCATAGGACAACCTGCCATCTGAACACAGTTCCCTACAAGCACTACATGCTCCGGGCGCCACATTCATTTTCCCACTCACTTGAACATACAAGCATCAATTTTCGCAAGGGAGGAGTGATGTGGGAACATCCCACATACTTACACGCTGTGTCACCAGTCCAACAGACAACACTCACTCCTCGGTCAATATCACATCGCCACATATTGCTGTCGACGCTCATATTTATTCAGCACTCCATATCCAACACACCTGTAAAACATAACGTGCGCTAACCAATCACATTGCTTCCAATGCTTGCATTTATACAGCACTTGCTGTCTAGTCCACATTCAGATCATCACGTGCGCTAGCCAATCAGCGCTCACAATCGCAACTGCAAGTTTCGATCTGCCCATCAAGCATGGTATAAAAGGGGGAGCCCAAAGCTCGCAGTAGTCAGTGACCACATTCAGTTCAGAGTGATTGGTCATAAGAGTCATCAGTGCTTCACTGCTACCAGCTGCCGCAGCTCTACAGCAACCATACTTTGCTACCTGCTGCAAGTCTCCAGTGATCAGGCAACTAACGCAACTCCAGCAACCGTGCTTTGCTACCTGCCGCAAGTCTCCTGCGACCAGGCAACTAACGCAGCTGCCACAACTCCAGCAACCGTGCTTTGCTACCTGCTGCAAGTCTCCAGCAACCCCGCTCTGCGACCAGGAAACTAACACAGCTGCCACAACTCCAGCAACCATTCTTTGCTACCTGCCGCAACTCTCCAGCAACCACGCTCTGCGACCAGGCAGCTAACGTAGTTGCCGCAACTCTCCAGTGCATGCACGGTGCAACAAACGGCCCTTTTTATGGCCCGTAAACTTTTTGTAGTGGTTGTCTATTGGAGTATCGACAAATCCCACAAAAGAATAAAAAATAAATTGCCTTTACTTTTTGAATTTACCTTGCATCTCACATGACAATGTGAAACATAATGAGGTGTAACACTTCCTCACCTGCTTGAAGTAAACTGTATGCTACTTTTCCCACACAATATATTTTGCTTACCAGGATTCTGTACTATTGTAATTAATTACTCTACTGATGACGCTGCATAATAACCATTTCCCATACTCTACATAGAAATGTTGTGGTTTTAAGATACATATTCTGATTTTGGGGCTTTGGATCCTGGTAATGATATACTTAATCCTTACATACCATGAGCTCTTCTCACTTCCTTTTCAGGTTGCATCACCTCCTGGCAATTCACAAAAGATGATTTTATCTAATAAAATTACTGTTAAATGTTTCAGTCTCAACACAACAACTATCAAAACTCACTCACACTTCACCATGCAGTAGTGAGTGTATTGGTCTTATGGCATTACATTGTGCTACATGTTTTGTCTCCTAAAGGCATCATCAGGTGGTACAATTTACATCACCTGATGATGGCTTCAGGAGATGAAACATGTATTGTGATACCAACACACTCACTACTGTATGGTGAAGTGTGAGTGAGTTTTAATAGTTGTTGTGTTGAAGACAGGAACATTTAAAGGTAATTTTATATAGAATAACAGAACACGATGTCTATCTTGAAGATGAGTTTATCTGTTATGAAATAAAACTGGATAGTTCATGGCACATATCTTTCACCTTTATTTAGTTTCATGAGGATACATCATGTCATAGAACATTATTTATCTCTGATCCAGCTTTTGTAACTATCCTCTAAGCAAACAATATACAGGGGCCTATATATACTCAGTGCAATACAGCACAAGTCAGTGACAATTCTATGTGTGAAAAGCTGCTGTGCCCTGATGTAGTATATTACTTTCACTTAAAAACAAACCCATTCATATGCTATGGACATGATGTCACCAAATTATGACTTTATAATAAATTGATCTGTATCTTACAATGGTCAGTTTAACAATGTTTTAAAACTGGTAATTGATAAATGTGATTCATGGCTGCTTTCCAACAGCAATAAAAAGTGTTATTAAAAACCTTTTTATTCCACCTACATGACAATCAGTAATATAATGAGAACTGCTCAGTTTCAGCATTAGGATGTCATCACCTACACTATGTGGGATCATTTATATTGTTGATATTATTATAAAAGACTGGTAATTTAAATAATCCCACAGCAAGTAACAACTAATGGATCCATTAATAGATGGTGGCTTGTGATAGTATGTACAATTCGCTGATTACATGTGGCGAGAAAATCAAACAACGTGAAGGTGAAATTCTAGTTGAAACTGTGTATATATTACTGGTTGTTGAAAGGTCAGATATACAAAAGGGTTTTAATATGGGATCTTATTACTTATGCATACCATTAAAATTCAAGTGAAAAAAAAATGGTAAATTTTATTTATTAAAATAAATAGCAAGTCTCTTTCACTTGCAATATCAGCTATTTACATTACTTACGCCATACTAATAAATACTTTACTCCCTAAACACATTTAGCAACTTTAAATCATGTACAGTAACATGTGAAATGCCAAAAGTTGTTCAAAATAAAAAAAAGGATAAGGGTGCACATCATGAGTTATTAGTACCTGCATTTAGTAAAGACTTATTTTTTACCCAGCCAAACGTGTGCAAAAATATTTAGCTTATAATATAACACCTTTGTTGCAATTAATTTAAACAAGGAGACATGCTTTACATACACATAATTACAAGGGTAACTGCAGAGAGGCAAGCTTGAGGCAATTTGTAACATTGAAAGTTTGGGTCAAACCAATGAAAACCCTTCAGTCTGCTGCATTGCTTGCATCAATTTGTAACGAAGTTTCTCCTTTGTGCCATACCGTGGAAGATCCAACAAGTTGAAGCAGGTATGAGCCACTGGTAAATACCTGTCATCCGATGATGGCTGAATGTAAATCTGAAATGGTAAAAAACGTTTCTAAACATGACATGTGGAACAAGTATCAAGATACCAACCAATTGGTTGTTTATTAAATTGTTTCATCATACCTATATCTTTTGGCTATAATGGTCATCTTTACAATGGTAATGATCATCATTCTCTATTCTGCATTTAATTCATAATCAACAGTGCAAAGTGTGTCATTAATAATTTCTATACAGCTCAAATTTATGAAAGAACCCGAAAATCCCATTCACTTGTTTCCAATCTCAAATCCATATATGTGCTGTTGTGAAACTGGTTTGTCTCACCAAGTGCACATAGAAGTGCACTCATCTCAGTCTTTCATTAAGTTGCAACTGTTCTCTTTGCTTAAAAATGGCCTTCTACAATACACATATTAATTACGATACATGTTGGAGAAATTTCTAACTGGTAGTGTGTCCAGGTTCTGTTAGGACTGTGTTCATTAAAAATATAAGATGTGAATTATTTTCAAAATTTCACTCTCTTTATCCAAAATAGTCTCCTTCTGAATCAATACATACCTGGAATTGATTGAAAAGTTTTTGAAAACAGTCACTGTACTCCTTTTGTGGAATCACATTTAAAACTGCGGTACATTTCTTTGGATGTCCTGGATGGTGTCCTGCTGCTTTGTGAGAGGCTTATATTGAAAATACTATGTCTCTTCACCAGTAACAATCGATTTTGTAAATTTTGTATCAATTTGCGCCAACCGTAACATGTCTTTGCAGTGTTCCACTCTGGCATGTTTTTCATCGCCTGACAGTGCGTGCGGTACAAACCGCACGGACCTCCCATTTGCACAAATCCTTGGTCAAAATTTGATGCACAGTACTTTTTGGTATTCCCAACACCTCCTCCATGAGTCTTGCAGAAACACATGTCTGATGCAAGGATTTCAGTCACTTTTTTCACATTTTCTTCAGTGCAACTTGTTCTCAGCTTTGATGCACATGGAGCGTCTTCAATGTCCTCCCTGCTGTCACGAAATACAGCATACCATCGAAAAATGTTCAAGCAATGCAAACAATCACTACCATACACACTTTTCATCATGGTGTATGCTCCTCCGGCTGTTTTGCCTAACATCATACAAAATTTGATGTTGGCTCTCTGTTCTACCGCCATTTTCCAACGAGCGTCAGAACAGTACTGTTACATTCAAGGTCAGAACACATGATGCAGAGATGCTTGTACTTTGAAATTATAGACAGCCACAGCTGAAACTTCAAGATTCTTAACGCCTCAACTGGCCAACAGATGGCATTGCAAGGCTAAATTAAAAAAAAATGAGTCCTAACAGATCCTGGACACACTGTGTATTCTCTGGGACATGAAACTGACCACTTATCTCAATCTAGTGGAAAGGTCAAGAATTGTGGAGCTATATCTCCACACCTCGACATGTTTTCATGGTGTGGTGCTAGAGTAATTAAGCATAGGGTCACCTCTTACCTTATGAATATATATGAAAGTTAGATACTTCTGTTTCATTTCAATCATAATCTACTGGTGATATAGTCAATCCCTACGAAAATGTGGATGTTGTATTGACTGATGCACTACAAGTGACCTAATCCTTCAAGATTATGGTCATCTAAGAGGAGAAGGAATCTGGTTTCTTAAAAAGGTACCAGTGTCCTGGAGGAACATGTTACCTCCTTCATTAACCAACCTATATGGCATCACACAGATCCACCTTTCTGATCTCAACTACTGTAAATGAGAGATTAGGATATCCATGGATACTGAAATCCTGGTATAAATATAAAATGAAATCCACACAAGAGATAACATGGGTAAAACAAATATCACCAGAATAAAAATTAAAAATGCAACCAGACATAATAAGATGCAATACAGATTATCTCAACAAATTAAAAATACCAACAGAAGTAGAAAATGCTGTATCTGTGCAAAATCCACTAGATTATGGTTCTTACAATATATACCTGGACTTAGTAGAAAGCGTAAAGAAAGCAGAACACACACAAGAAGAATTAAAACAACTAAAAAATAAGCACCATTGAAGAAAGATACCCATCATCAGAATGGCTACATATATATATATATTGATGGTTCTCTGATAGACAAAGAAGCTAATGCTGGAGCCGGAGTTTACTCATCACTTTTTGCGCACTATATAGCGGTAGGCGAAAACAAATCAAATTTCAATGCAGAAATAGAAGCAATACTATTTTCATTGGAACAACTAATCAGCAGACACAACATGTTTAATAAAGCAGTTCTGCTTGTGGATTCAAAAGCAGCCATACAAGCCAAATCCACAAACAAAAGAACTATCATGAGACGGCTAATTGAAATAAAAAAACTAATAAAACTACTTGAAAACACAAAGAAATAATATATATTCAATGGATACCATCACATGTTGGCATCAATCGAAATGATACTGCTGAGGAACTGGCAAAAAAGGGCACAAGACTGCATTGCCAAAATAAAATCCTAAGTGCCCACACGCTAGCTAACAAAATCAAAACTAAAACAAGTAAAGAAATACTCCCTACCATCAATAAAGAACCATACAACAAGAGATGGTCAGAAATAGGAAAACTTTGGGAAATTAACAGCAAGAAACCCAGAAAAGCTGTTGCAAATTTTCGATTGAATACAGAACATGACTGCCTTGCAGCACATCTTTGTTAGATAGGAATATATAATACAGAAGAATGTACACTGTGCAACTTGCCAGGATCATCTATGGGAAAAGAACACCTCCTTCAATGCTCTAATCTTAAGATGCAAGAACTTGAGTGTTCCCTATTGGGAAGCAAGAAGCAAAATGGGTTAAACGAACCCAAATGCAGCCATTGGAAACCAACCAACCAACCATATCCACTAATCTGGTTCCTCAACTCATTTACACATCTTGCTCTTCTTCTTATGGGGCACTTAACAAAATGTGGAACTGGGGGTTTACAATAGCAGCTCTGGGTTGAATTTTTTATTCACATACCAGCTAAAGCCAAACACCTACTTACTTTATTATATTTAAGCATCATGTTGCACTCCATACGATAAATGATATAATGATACAAATACCGTCCCAAGTGCAAACAATATATTATGTGTACTTGATCTTGCTCCTCTACACTACATGTTTCGGCCTCAGACGGCCATCATCAGGTGTATAACACTCACGTTACTGTCACACAGGCACCCAGCCCAAAATTTAACATTTAAAACATTTTCCTTGTTATTATCAACATCTACTTCGTTGATATCTGTCTGGTTTGTAGATTATTTTACACACGCTAATTTTGACATGCCTGTAGTAGCACTATAAAATCTTTAGTTCTAATTTTAAAATCTTTTAAAATTTAGAGAAAAAGTTCACTTCTTGTGAACTGGTACAATAATAGACTCCATTAATAAGGCAATTTTTCCTTATTCCAAATAGAAGTAATTAGCTTCTGGATCTTAGAACGTAATATTTCGCCTCCTGCTTGAGTAAGTTCTGCTGGAATTTGATCACTACCTGGCGATTTATACCGTTTAGCCAAACACAAAGTTCTCAAAAATGGCTCTCTGTACAAAAAAGTATACTTTGCCATATAATACAGATCTCCTTAAAGATCTACAACTTTCATTTGAAACATTTAGTATTGTGAATATTAAAAAAAAGGGGGGGGGGAAGTAATTGTTGACTCCATGCAATGTGTTATCTAGTGCAATCAGTTTTGCAATGATACATTTGTAAGCTACCTTACAATGTTGTTTAAATTAGACTGATTATATAGCACACTGAGTAAGATGTGAACACACTCATAAATAGGAGAGGATATAAATTTGGAAGGAGGCAGTTGTGACCTATCTGGACATACTTTGCCTACATGGAAAAACCCACAGAAAACTACAGCCAGGACAGCTAGTAACCTGGCAGTATATCACCATACGAGACCTGAACATCCTACAATGTATGACACTACATCTACAAAACCTCTCTCTTTAAAGATCACAGATTTCTTGACTTGGAAAATAAAATGGCATCATATGTAACATACAGATACAAAATGACCAAAACACCTCTGAAGACAGAAATGATCTCATAGACAGTCAAAACTTAATACTGTCACATATATGTGTGTGACTATAGATGGGGTACAGACTGATGAATGAATTTATTGACCACTTACATCACTCAGAACAACAAGTAATTACAGTGCCATTGCTAATCTCTACATTTCACAAATAAGGCACCCGCTAAGCTCTCTTCCAGCCTGCTGTGCCTTTACCAGCCATTCCCTGGCAACAGCTTCTAACAGTGGACATTCTTCAGCTTCATGCACTCAGGTCCTCTTGTCACAGCTGCCTGTGCAGAATTCTTGTCAACTCTCAACTCAAATATAGAACCATATCGTCTCAACCTCCCTCGCAGAGCTCAACTGACCTGGTTGCCCCATTTCTCTTCTTTTTACTCCTTGGCATGGACCAGATAGACAACACCCCATTTCCCCAGATAGACAACACCCCATTTCCCCCATTGCATGCCCCCATTGTTGCCATGGGAACATGTTCACCGAGCTGCAACTCTATTGTTGTACAGGCATGTTTACTGTGCCTTGCTGTTTACTTTGAAGTCACTGCCCAGTAACAGGTCTATATGCCACAATATATTTTAAACATGTTCAATAGTTCTGTCCTACATTAGTGGATGCTCAACACCTCCAATTCTTGAAGCCTCCTCCCTTTTGAATACACGTGTAATTATATGTGCACTACAACTGTTACATTGTTAAAATTTAAAATTTGTTTCTTTCTTGAAAAACAAATGGGTGCAAAATAAAGCAAAATTGTCACACTATGTGCACATTTCCTAAGCTGTTCAGAACATAGGGATGACAAGGAGTTTATGAATAATACTCATGTTCCAGGAGAAAACTACTTACGAGGGTGAGTCAAATGAAAACCTTAAATTTGTAATAAGAAAGCGTGCTACAAACAGCGTGCAGAATGGCCCGTAGGTTGCAGCATAGTGCAGATGCACGAACACCGTCACAGCACCAGTATAAGATGGCTGCCCCACTTGAGACTTGCACCAGGGAAGAACAGCGTTCTGTTATTCTGTTTTTGTGTAGTGAAGGTGTGAAACCTATTGAAGTTTATCGAAGAATGAAGTTTCAGTATGGTGATCGATGTTTGTCACAGCAGCAAGTGTACGAATGCAGTAGGAAGTTTGCAAATTGTGTGACGTCAGTGGAAGATGCTCCTTGTCCGGGTCAGGCACATCGAGTTGTGACTCCAGAGAACACTGCGGCAGTTGAAGCCACAGTGAGGGAAAACCGCCGAGTGACACTGAATGAAATTGCAGAAAGTTTAAACATTAGTCATGGTTCAGCACACCACATTGTGCACGATGTGCTCCAGTTTCACAAAGTGTCTGCAAGATGGGTGCAATGGCAGCTGACTCCCGAATTGAAAGACTGACGTATTGATGCCTGTGAAGAACTTCTGCGGCGCTTTGAACGAGAAGGTGATGACTTCCTTGCAAGAATCGTTACTGGGGACGAAACCTGGGTTCACTTCCACCAACGGGAAACGAAGAGAGCGAGCAAGGAATGGCGCCATTCCTCATCTCCAAAACTGAAGAAGTTTCGAACACAACCATCAGCAGGGAAGGTTATGCTGACTCTCTTTTTGGGACGAAAAAGGCGTCATCTTGGAGCATTACACGCCTAGAGGGACCACTGTCACCAGTGCATCATACTCAGATCTCCTAAAAATCATCTTCGGCCTGCAGTCAAATCAAAGCAACGTGGATTGCTGTCCACAGGTATCCTTTTGCAACATGACAATGCAAGGCCCCATACTGCCTGTACAACAGTTGCAACAATCAATGACCTGCATTTTGGGTGTCTTCCTCATCCGGCATACTCACCAGACCTTGCCCCAAGTGATTCCATATGTCTGGACCACTCAAAGAAGCAATGGGAGGAAAGACGTTCAGTTCTGATGAAGAGGTACGCCACGCGGTGCATGAGTGGTTGCGTGGACTACCAAAAGAATTTTTTGTAAAGGAATTCATGCACTTTGTAAGCAGTGGAGGACTTGCATTGAGTGTGGGGGATATTATGTTGAAAAGTGATACAGCTTTGTACCACTTGTGCACAATAAACAATACTCAAAAAAATATTTAAGGTTTTCATTTGACTCGCCTACATAATTTACAACCAAACACAAACTGGGTAAACAGAACAATAACATGACAATTGATAGAAACAAGTGCTAATGTAACCATAGTGTTACCACCTGCTGTAAATTAAAATCTGAATGCAACTGAAAATAATCACAGTTAAACACTTCACCTTCTTGGTGAAGTGACATTTAATACAACCTGCATAGCAAGCATTTCACAGATTTACCCCTGTTCTAATTTCCTCGTGAAGCTTTACTAATTGCAGATTGTACCTTGATTGCCTTCATGCCCTGAATAGGAATGCGGACACTGCCTGTGAGGAACAGCAGGAACTTTCTCTTCTCCTCTTCAGAAAGCTCATGAAATACTTCCCAAAACATTCGAATTGTTTTATCATTCTCTGTGTAGCCATTCTTGTACTCAGCGTTACGTTGCAGCTCCTCCCAGTCATAATTCTCATTTCCTATGAAATCAGTAGAAATGTAGAGAACAGAGGCAAGGGTTCTGATGATGGTGTATAACATTCAGAATTACTGGGGTTTTGGACTTTGTCCATCATCTAGTATTCTAGAAACTAGAAAACACAACATTTCAGAAACTGAATTTGTTTCTGTCATCAAGTGATTGATGGGAGGGGAGACATCTACTCTGTTGGGTCCCTTAGAAAGAGATAACCTCATTCACAGGACCAGGTTAGATCCTTCTAAGGGACCCAATGGAGTAGGTGTTTCCCTTTCACCTGAGGAAGGAAACAGTTCCAGTTTCTGAAATGTGTTTTCTAGTTTCTAGAATGCTGGACAACGGACAAAGTCCAAAACCCCAGTAATTCTGAGACAAGGAACTTTCACTGTAGTCATTTGGACACAGCACTCTGACAAAATCGTACAGTTTTCATCGTTCATGTTAAATCGTTCCTGGGTTGCCAACCATGTAGTTGTGGGCAATGCTGCTGACATTTCAGAAGTACATGCCATTTCCATCTTCAGGGGGCAGCATGTACCTCTGAAACGTCAGCAACAATGTCCACAACCATATGATGTAATAACCAAAGAACAGAATTAACATAAATAACTGAACACCGTGAAAGCCTAAAATTAGCAATTTCAAACGTTTGCATTGCAGCGAGGTAACTTTTGCTTTTCAGATCTGCTGCTATGTCCAGAAGTCTCTACATCAAATACAGAAAGCTCTGAAAACATCAAGTTTCCTAAGACACTATCTGTTAAAACAGTGTGTGCACTAACACTCTTCTGTATACAAATAAAGGATATTCAGTAAGACTAAATCTTCAGAAAATTTCCTTCAATAACAAACATTATTACAACTTATTCCAAAATGAAGTAGAATTAAAATATCGACTATCACACAATACAGCTTATCATGAAACTGATAACTATTATGAAATTAATGTTACTGAATTATCCAAGATCTGAGATTTTCACAAAAGTCAAATTTCAGATTGTGGTCTTCTGGGTTGACATTGTGTAACTTGGTACATGATTATCAACATCTGGAGAATGATGCTGCTGCCATCTTCAGCATACGCACACATATATGGGGTGAAAAAAGTACCTTATGAAAGCGAAATTGCTGGTAATCACATTTAAATCTTCAGTATAAGTACTATGAATCACTTTTTACTGAGGCAGCATCAGATTAGTCTCACAGCCATGAATATAGGCAACAAATGTCATCAATGGTTTCTGTGTTCATGCCCTCTCAGAACCAAAGCAATGACCCTCAATCAACAAATGCTTAATAGAACTTACCAGCTACAAGAGCCATCAACTCCTGAGAGTGGAATAGCTCAAGGACACGTCCACCACACACCTCATGAAAGCCAGTACTGAATGCTTTGAAATGTTTCTCAACTGATGTATTCAATATCAGGTCCACATAGAGATCCACAAATTCCTGCCTGAAGGCAAAATATGAAGTAATATTGTATTTTTGTATCCTGCTGCATTAGCTTTATCACATGATGTACAAGTATATGCACATGAAAATCTTCAACACAGCTTTGTGGATCCTGGCTGAAACAGCCTTCTATAGAGTGTCTTCTTACAAACTAACAACTTTTACACATACAGCACTCACAGGCTAAGACAATACAATTCTTTACTGGAATCCGGTCAAGGTCAACATTACCTTACCTACATGTTTCAGCTTTTAAAGACATCATCAGTCAAAATATATGGTTACCATATTTGCACACTACTGAACTGCATTTCATTGTGACACTAGAGCTGGATACTTGACAACTATGTTACACTATAAAATACAAGGTTACTGCACTCAGACACTATTGAACTGCATTTCACTGTGACAGTAGGGCTGGATACTTGACAACTATGTTACACTATAAAATACAAGGTATAAAAATACAATGAATTATAAAATATGAAAGTTATGTAATAAAACATGGTTAAAAACTCTTCATGCGATATTTCATATTATGAAGTCAGTTGTTGCAATCTTGTTATTATATTCCAGTGGACATATAACGGTATATTCGTGACTTGTATACGTATAGTAAAATCCTTTGGAGGCCTGTGGTATAAGTGTAGTATTATCTGATATTAATTGTTTGGCCAGTGCCTCATTTTACAATGTATTTTGTCTGCTCTGGTGGGAATACAGATTGCAACTGTATTATCACCAGAACAGACAAACCATTTAGCTGCATTTAAGACTGTGTTATGCATATATATCACATGACAAAATACAAAGAACAGACGATAAATGTAAGAGCTTGATACATTATATGGTTATTAAGTGACTAGCATAAAGCCCACTGAAATTTCAACAAGAATCTGAGCATAACATGTATCGCAAAAACAATTTCTGTGCATATGCAACATTTTCTGGCTAGACACTTCTCTCTCAATAACCTAACTGCATTAAATCAGTTTTTAAAACAAACAAACTCTGTGGCGTGTAGTCTGCAAGCGAACTATACCGACTGAGTGACCACCACCTGCCAATAAATCAGTTTGTAATCATCTGTAACATTTAATGTAGAGATTTTGTACATGTACACTATGATAAAAAAAATCTTACTGCAATACTAATGACTCAGATACATATTTCAGTGGTGTTTGTTGCTGTCATCTACTGCTTTTAACTGTAACTGCCACCAACTGTATCTTGTGCTACCAATTCATAACTCACATACTTGACAAAACAACATGCATTTTCTGACCATACGTGGAGATGTCATAAAATCTTAATTATCACCCAGAAGAAACAGAGACGGGTGCAAGAAATTTTATGTGAGTTAGTCCTTCTCTACATATGCCCCCTGCAAGGCCACACATTTTCCCCAACGATGCATTAGCTGCTGGATACCTTGATCACAGAAGGTCTCATTTTGATTGTTCAGGAAGTTCTTCACTGCAGAAATGTCATCATCATCGGCTTGAAATCATTTACCACAAAGTGGCTTCATTAGCTGTGAAAAGAGGAAGAAGGCACTCAGTGCCAGGTCTGGTGCATATGGTGGATGGGGGAGAATTTCATATCCCACTCTGGTAGCAAGTGTCGTCATAGCATGGGCAGCATGAGCTCGTGCGTTGTTGTGAAGAAGTTGCTCACTTTTTCCCAGCATTCCACATCCCTTTTTCTTGATTTCCTCCCATAATTTTCTCAGAAGGTTCTGGTAGTACTCGCCAGTTATGGTGACGACCCGCCAATCCCAGAACACATTCAACATCACCTTCCCTGACAACAGCTGGGATTTGGCCTTCTTTATTGGCAACGAGTCTGCATATTTCCACTTCTTGCTCATTTCCTTTGGTCAGGGTCATAACGACAGACCCAATATTCATCCATCGTGATCAAGCAGTCGAAAAATTCCACCTTTTCGTCTTGACACAACTGCAGAAGTTTCTTTTCCACATCCATCTGTTGTTGTTTTTGAACTGGTGTCAACAATCGTGGCACCAACGCAAAGTGACCTTTGTCATGTGTAACTTGTCATGGATGATGTTGAAAACTGACCCATGGCTAATGTGGACCTAATGAACAATAGCTTCGAAGGTTGTCAGTCTGTGTTCTGGTTTTTGGATGCTTATCTTAGATATACAAGGTGTGGCAATAAAGAAACCGGATTCATGCTCTAACCCTTTATTAAAAAAAAATCAGACAGTCGAAATGTTATCCCCTTCAATGTAGTCCCCTCCCCGATCCCTACACCGCTCCATGCGAATTTTCCACTGTTGGAAGCAGTGCTGCAGGTCATCTTGTGTTATGCTCTTCAAGAGTTGCGTCGCTTTTGCTTTCACTGCATCCACGGACTCGAACCTGGTCCCTTTCAGCGCA